GACATGTCACATGCAAAAATATCTCAGCAGTTTCCATGGGGAAGATCTGAAAAGTCAGCTTCCTTCCCCTTAAAGAACCTGCAGGCGTAGAAGCGGTGATTTTAGCAGATGAAGAAATGGGTTATCACAAAGCTGCAGTGTTGTTGTTATTATTATTGTTTGTTTTTTTTAAAAAAAAGCAGAATGAGAGTAGAAATGCTATTATTACTGCATCTTCATTTGCTTAACATATGACAGTTTCATATTGTCAGAAATATCCTCAAGTCTTGAACTCAAACAGCTATCAAGTATCCCAGAAGTCTGGAAAGGTTGAACTGGATTTAATTACATCAGTTTCTGGAGTCAAAACATAATGCACAGGTACAGTATAGGGGGTACCTTGCTCAATAGTAGTAACTGTGAGAGACATCTTGGAATCCTAGTGGACAACCATTTAAATATGAGCCAGTAGCAGCTGTCAGAAAAGCCAACACAGTTCTAGGCTGCATAAACAGAGGGATAGAATCAAGATCACATGAAGTGTTAATACCACTTTATAATACCTTGGTAAGGCCACACTTGGAATACTGCATTCAGTTTTGGTCATCATGATGTAGAAAAGATGTGGAGACTCTAGAAAGAGTACAGAGAAGAGCAACAAAGATGATTAGGGGACTAGAGGCTAAAACATATGAGGAACAGTTGCAGGAACTGAGTATGTCTAGTTTAATGAAAAGAAGGACTAGGAGAGACATGATAGCAGTGTTCCAATATCTCAAGGGTTGCCACAAAGAAGAAGGAGTCAAACTATTCTCCAAAGCACCTGAGGGCAGAACAAGAAGCAATGGGTGGAAATTAATCAAGGAGAGAAGCAACTTAGAACTGAGGAGAAATTTCCTGACAGTTAGAACAATTAATCAGTGGAACAGCTTGCCTCCAGAAGTTGTGAATGCCCCAACACTGGAAGTCTTTAAGAAGATGTTGGGTAGCCATTTGTCTGAAATGGTGTAGGGTTTCCTGCCTAGGCAGAGGGTTGGACTAGAAGATCTCCAAGGTCCCTTCCAACTCTGCTATTGTATTGTAGTCAACTATAAGTATAAGCATTACAATGTGAGTTTGACACCCCAGTTCTAGAAGGTGCAGGATACAGAAGTTTGATGTACCCCATATCATTAAAACAGATGATATGATCTTCAGTACTGTCCTCTAGTATCCACTTTTATTAAGTTATTAATTTATCTCATGTTGCTGCTTGATAATTGCCTGTTTCCTGTTTTAGCTATAAAAGCCTGATTATAATACATATGCCTTTTATTTTCAGCACTAATTGAATAACAAAACAAAATCAATACCAGTATTCACTCCTTGGCAGCTAAATAAATTCACTTTCAAGCCACTTCAGCTCTGCATGAACTGCAGACCATTAAAGCACTAATGCTAAGCTAATGTTTAGAAAGGAATAAATCCCCAAAGAATTCATATTTCATTGGTGGCAGATTCTGCACACATAAAGTAGTGGATGTTAGGTTTCCCATTTGGACAGATCCTTGACAAAGTGCAAAGTCTGTTTATCCTACCAGTAGGATAAATTGAAATATCCCCCTCTTTTCTGGAGGTAAAGGTCTCTGTCTGAACAAAATGCCCCTTTGCCCTTATTCTATCCCAGCATTAATCAGAAATAAATTTCTTAAAGAAAGACTGTTTATCTTATTCCACTTTGAAGCCAGTTCAAAAGACAGAATGAAGATAACAATTTCAGCATCATTTGTTCCAGACTACAGGAATATACTGTTTTTCATGCAAACTTCTTTCTATAGCAGTCCTCAAAATGTTAATTAAGAGAAGTTTAGGAAGTTTCTTTCTCTGGAGTGAAATTTGCCTAAGTATCTCAACGTGATATTCAAAGTCACAGAAATAATTCAAGTTCATTGTTTAGCTAAGCAGACTCTTGTTTGACAGGATGCTGAGTACTTACCAGTTCTTAAAAAGAGATGGTGAGCACCTGGTAACCAGGAGCCAAAGCAAAAGTGAAGTGCAAAGGGAGGAAATGTCAAGATATTTATTATCAAAGTTTGCAAAGGAGTGCAAACAATGTGATTTCTTTGACTGACCAGTCAATGCTTTTAACACAGCACACATAGTGTACACATCTACACACAAGAATGAGAAGGAAGGCAACAGGGCAATGCTGCAGAAAAATCAAACAGTACACATCATGGTCTAAAACAATAACTTCAAATAAAAGTAAAGTATGTTTATAAATGTTTTTCATAATAATAATAATAATAATACAGGTGCCTAGAGGTAATTTTATTGGAATATACCTTATAATATACTTTAATTGTTGTAGAGCTGTAATTCTGTGCCCAATTTCCTGGGAATAAGACTTGAATTCAGCGTTTTTGAGAGTCATAATCACTTCTGCAGATCTTTATTTTGTCTATGAAATGTAACTAGCTTACTCAGGATCTGGGAAAAAAATATTGCGATATAATATGATGATATAGGATGCTGTTGTAGGTAGCTATTAATCACTTTACCAGTCATATTTGGGTCCAGATTATTTTTTAATGTTGTTCATAATTCATATACCACAGTCAATCTAATATTTTACAGAAACAGAAACCCAGTGTCAGCCTGAAAAGCTGATAGTGACTTAATGTGGTTGACATATGTAGGTAACTTCAAATCTTAATTAATGGAATGGACATACAGTATTGTTGGGCAAACCTTGAACAAGCTCCCAACCTACAACTATTCTAGAATACAACACAGCAAGTGATCAAGGAGGCCACTTGGAGCTATCATAGCACATGAAAGTTGAAATAATTGGCCAGGTTACCCACTGCTTTCTCAGTCCAGTTCAAGGTGATTATTTTCAGATCCATAGTCTTGTACAGCTTTGATCCAAATTACCTGCAGGATCACCTATTGCTCTTTTTCCAACTAAGTATTAACTAGTCCTGATCGTGTTTGACTATCAAGTCCAAGCAAGATGCTCCAAGTGTTGCATGATAGGATTTACCATCAATGCCAGTAATATTTGGGGTAAGTCTTGCAAAAGATTCCTGTTAATGATGGGTGGAGCAGATGGTATGAATGCAAGTAGTCCTGCAGAGAAATTAGGATTAAGCTGTTTGTATGTATCTGTACACATTTATAAATAAATGAAGTCTCTTAATGAGAGGGTGGAAAAGATGGGACAGGGTAACAGGTAATTGTCAACAGTGTCCACTTATCTGGGCTTCATTCTACCTTTAATTTTTGCATATTATTTACTTAATTTATTCATCTGATTTATAGAGCTGCTGATTTCATCAAAGTGACTCTGGGTGATATACACAGAAATGATGAATAAATACATAAAACCTATATTATTATGAAAAACTGTTTAAAAACTATACCAAAACTGAAATAATAAAAAAGAAACATTGTTAACAAACAAAGGGATGCTATGGGTTGTAAATAGTAATGGAGCCACTTCACAAATTTATTCATGTCCTGAGATTGCCTGGCTTGTTGACACAACCAGGTCTTAAGTGACCATCAGAAGCTCAAAACTGATGAGGCCAAGTGGGACAAAGGGAAGAGAAGATTCCTCTTGAATCTTATCATGAAGATATTGAGACTAAAATTGTGTTCCATTTCAAGGAAGTTGTAACAACTAGTGGTATAAAATGGAAGTAGTTTCTAACTCAAAAGACTACCTACAAAACCCAATATGATTCTAACCATTAACCAAATCAGGCATTTCCCAAACGCTATCCCTTCACCAAGGGATGCGATGGGTCAATGGCTAAGACGCTGAGCTTGTCGATCAGAAAGTTCGGCAGTTTGGTGGTTCAAATCCCTAGCGCCGCATAACAGAGTGAGCTCCCATTACTTGTCCCAGCTTCTGCCAACCTAGCAGTTGAAAAATAGTAACCATCTTTGGTGAAAAGGTAACAGCATTCCATGTGCCTTTGGCGTTTAGTCACATGACCATAGTGACATCTTTGGACAACGTTGGCATTTCGGCTTTGAAATGGAGATGAGCACCACTCCCTAGAGTTGGGAATGACTAGCGCATATGCGTGAAGGGAACCTTTACCTTATCCCTTCATCAGCTGCTGCTCCTTCATCATCTTATCTTTGTATATCAGTATGAAGAAAACATACTGAAGAAATGCTAACAGAACTTTCTCTAGACTGAATTCAGTCATTAACATGCCTCACAAAAACCCAATGATCAGAGAGGGCAGGGTGACAAGAGTGAGGACAGCACTGAGGTTCAGAAGATCTTGTCAAGCTGAACATTGGGCAAAACCAAAGAAGATTAATTTCAACATGGAGAATTGCAGGGCCTACATTTGAGTAAAAAAAATAAATCAAAGTAATGATATTACATGGAGATGTGAATGGGAAGAAAGATTTTGCACACTAGTAACTGCAAAAAAGGAACTGGATCAGAGGTAGTATTCTGCCAGTTCGCTCCAGTTTGGACAAACTGGTAGCAGTGGTGGGAAGCTCTGCCCTCCTGCTGAGATGTCATTATTGACACTCTGTGCATGTGTGCTCCCGGTTCCCAGCTGGTAGTGAAGGTAAGAGAAAAGTATTACTGAACTGGATGTCTTGAATTGAATTGAATTTATTATATTTCTATGCCGCCCTTTTCCCAGAANCATTTTATCACTAAGAGATTTTTTTACACTAAATTGAGCATAAATAATTCAATATATAATATGACATGATCATATGAGTTATGTTTAAAAATAAGTATACAGTTAAGGTGCACCACTGTTGTCATTAAAATGCCTTGAAAAGTTTTGTTGTCCAGCCCAAGCTGAAAGGAGAAAGCCTTTGTCAGGGTATGTTGACTGGGAATAAGTAGGCCAGTATTTTACCCTTTTACTGTTAAAAAGAAAGATAAAGAGATGTTTGGAAGAAAAACCTACAGGAAGATTCTTATTAGAGAGCAGAAGCTACAACAAATGCTTCTCTTGTGTTTGCTGCATTCCAGACAAGAAGGACAGGTGACTTACCGGCAGCTTTGATTTCCCTGGCTGGCCCAGTGGCATCATCACTGGATGACTCGTCAGCCAATATCACTAATGTTCCTGGGACGCCAGACCTTCGCCCTGCAGTTGGGCTCAGCATGTAGTTCTTCACAAAATTAATGCCTGCTCCTTCATAGAAAAAGTAACGACAGATATGCATCCAGAGAGACACATACCGTAGTAAGAGCACTAGTGATACATTGCTCATTTCATGTTTTCATTAGCAAGTCCTGTGAATTTTGACATCATGGTCACAGGTAGAATTTCAAAAGAAACATGATTGCTTCTTTCTCTTCCTGCTGAGTTTGAACAAGGAACTAACAACTCCCTCCCTGTTCCTTGAATCAAAGGAATGGGCGACCCCTTACCTATGGCATTGCCACTACGCTCCTCATAGCGCAATGAGCGAATGTGCTGCAGGAGACTTGCTAAATCATTGGAACGATTAAGCAGGAGTAAATGAAGGCCTCGATAGCTGTACATTGCAATGCCCACCTGGAGTAGGAAGAAAAGAAAAAAGAAACGTGATAAAAAGCAGAATCTAAAGATGAAGTAGCATGCAGCCAAATTCCCCATCTTAGGAACAGAGAGAAACCAGGAGTGATATCCATTTACTTCTCAGCCTTCTAAGATAGGTAAGATTAGGAAGCAAGCATTGCTAGCAACCTTGGAATCAGGGGTGGGTTTCTCACCCCGTTCCAACCGGTTCGGTTGGAACGGGGTGAGAAACCCACCCCTG